AGCTGTCCTCCAGGGTCCAACTCTCAGGACTATAAGGTCTCCCAGAGCACTGGAGCATGTGCTGCTGATGCAAAGTGTCTCTATGGAAATGCTGTGCCTGACTCCTCTGATGACGCTGGTGATCAAAACGTATAATAGTAATGAATTAGTTGCTATTCAAGAGAGTTATTTTTACCCATATTTATTTGAACGTGTCATTACTTAAGTTGAACCATTCAGCGATGATTCTTGTTCACATGACGAGAACAAGCGCAGATCATCTTGTTTGAGGTTTTGGCTTCAAACATGAAAAACTTAAAGCCAGTTAACACAGTAAAAGCCTCTCAATCTGCATCCTTTACTGTAAGATGCCTGATCCATGAAACTCAGAAAGCTTGGATGAGACGACAGATTTATTTCAGTACTGAAACCTGTCTGCTGTCACGGTTGGGCGGTGATGCCCGTCTGTTGCCGTGGTTACAGGATTCAGAGAGGAAAGTGAAACTTGAAGCCACCTCTGCTGAATCTATAAGAATCTCTCTCTCTGCGGTGGGTCGGCATATTTTAAAATTACCGGAAAGTCAAATTTAACATTAAGGGTCATTGTCTTCATCCGTCACTTGTGTTCAATCCCGGACGCACCACCAGAGGGCACCGATGGACCAACACGCTGCTCTGCTCCCCAACAGGGGACGACAACAGCGTGTGTTGTAGCCATGACGATGCATGTTTCGTGTGTGTGTGTGTGTGTGTGTGTGTTACAATAAATATACATTTATGATCATTTTGACTTTTTTGGATATTGGAAATGTGTAAAGAAACACAAAAATATTAATATACATTTTTGTAAAATGTTCTTTAGTAATCATTTATTTGTTTCTTATTAATTAAATATCACTCACAGATGTTAAACATTCATCAAATAACCGGTTGAATACACATTTACTTTGTGTTGATCAGTTTGATGGGTCGAGGTCTTGTACACACTGAATGTGTGTAGTGTGTTTGTGTGTCTGTCACAGAGTCGTGTGTCTCTACTCTCACAGGTTTTTGTACGGCGGTTCGATGCCTTCGTGTCACTGTGGTGGACGTTTGGTGGAGGAACCAGACTGAGCGTTGGAAGTAAGTCAAACCTTTAATAATCTCATTGTTTCTGACTATAATGTGTTATATTTATATATATATTCAACAGGCAAAACAGAAAATAGATGCTTTTATATATTTATGTATGTTTTTCAGATATTTTGCAATCAGAGAGAAACTTTCCATCAGTGAACTTTAAAACGTTATTTGTATGAAAAGTCAAAGTAAAAATATCTGTTAATTTATTTAAAGCTCTTTCTGATTTCATGCCTTAATTTCTGCTCCTTTATACATTTATATTAGAGAAGCTCTACTAAACATTTTGTTACAAACTCCTTTCTACTTATAACGTGTGAAAAACATGAACCTCAAGAAAAATATCAGAATGTTGGTTTTTGTTTTTTCATAATGAAAAATGATCCGATTATTTGAATAAATGTTTACGGACGAGTTAACGATCGACTTCATTCTCTCAAACGTCTTGAACTTTAAAACCATATTTTTTAATTTTGCCTGAAATCCACATGAAGAAAGTTTGATTGCTGTTGGTTTATTTTCTCTATTAATTCACGCTTGAAGTCATTATTTTAGACCAACGTTTTTGGACAGTTTTAACATTTGTCCTCATGTGGACGTTTCTTCTGTGGTTTCATGTCCTCCTGTCTGAGGATTGTCTCTGTGCTGATGTGCATGAGAGGCTTCTTGAAGGGAAGTGAAACATGGTGTGAGTGAGTGACTGCTGGAGCAGAAGAAACATCTGGCAGAAACTCCTCAAAGGACTGAATCGGCCCTCTCACAGTGAAGGGGTCCCATGTCTGGTGCTTGATTGACAGCTGGTCGTGTCTCCTAGGTGATGTCCGGCCCACCCTGACGGTGCTGCCCCCCTCCAGGGAGGAGCTGCAGCAGGGGACGGCCACGCTGGTGTGCCTGGGCCGACAAGGGCTTCCCCTCCGACTGGAGTCTGGCCTGGGAGGTGGGACGGCAGCAGCAGCAGCTGGGGAGGAGAGCAGGAGCCCCGGGGTGCTGGGGGGGGGGCGCCCTCTACAGCTGGAGCAGCACCCTGGAGGCTCCCTGCAGACCAGTGGGCCGAGTTGGGCTTCGTTGACTTGTGAGGGCACCCAGGGCTCCCAGACTGCGCTCTCAGAGACGCTGAGGAGAGACCAGTGTCCCAGTGAGCTGAGCCACTGGGGCTCTGATACTGGTTCACTCCCATACTGGTTCAGTATGACTTGTAACACGTTCCTGTTTATTTCTTTTTTTCAATCACTGTCTAAGTTCCCTGTTTCATTTATTAAGTTCTGTTCACTTTTATTATTTCAACACAATAAAAACTTTTCATTAAATTCTTTGTCATTCAGTATATTCATTGTAAAGTAAACAGATGTTTCTCTCTTTCTAGTTCCAATAAATCTCGTCTTGAGATTTTAAAATTATTTAATAAGTATAAAGAAATCTTAAATATTATTAGACATTCTTGGCGTTTGATGAACAAACTCTCTGATAAGAATCAATGTAACTGAATTTGACCCAGATATGATCAGAGTAGTTTTCATGATGCTTTTGTGACATCATTAACTGAAAAAAGAATATTTTAATAAAGCTGTGTTTTTAATAAATGTTTATAAGAAAATCCCATTAACAGTATCTACATCACTAATAAGGTCTGTCAGTTGTAGTATCTAGTCAAATGAATCTTAATTGAACTACAAAGTTTGAGAAGTTTTAATCAAATTGGAATAGTGAAGTAGGATATCTTCAGCATTTTATATCACCATAGTATTAATGAATATAAGTTTATTCTTACAGCACATTTCAACAACAAGGTTATTCAAAGAGCTTCACATTAAAGCATTAAAAGCATCATGAGTGAAGAACATTGATTTGAACATTTATTACTAAAACAATAAACAAGCTTTAATCTGAATAAACATTACAGTGTAGTTTGAGACTCTAAATAGTGAAATATAGTAAGAATATGCAGAGATGCAGTAAATGGATCAACATCCCTGTCTGGTTCAATTAAAAGCTGCAGCCAACAGAAACGTCTTCAGTCTTAATTTGAAGCCGCTGAGAGTCTCAGCAGACCTGCAGCTTTCTGGGAGTTTGTTCCAGATGTGGAGCAGAAGAAGTGAAGCTGCTTCTCCATGATTGGTTGTGACTCTGGGGACAGACAGCAGAGCCAGAGGACCTGGGGGGTCGGGATGGTTTGTAACGTGGCAGCAGGTCACGCTTGTGTTTTGGCCCTGAACCGCTCAGTGACAAGTTATTAAAATCCTGTTGAAGCCTCTAATGCTTGATATATTCTTCAAGTGACATTAGGGATCATAGTAGATGTGTGTGTCGTCTGCATAATAACGAATACACACTTTGTTTCTTTGCATAATGTGAGCAGGTGGAAGCATGTAGATGTTGAACAGGGGAGGCCCCAGGAAGGAACCTTAGGGAACACCTCATGTGTTTTAATCCGCTGTGATGTGTAATTAGCTACAGACACAAAGGGCTCACGGTTCTTCAAGTAGGATTCAAACCAGTGTCGTGTGACTCTTAAGCCTAGTTTATGCTTCTGTGTTTTCAGAGAGACGCAAGGACACGCAGACGCAAGAGCCACTTGCGTGTCCCTTGCGTGTCTTTTCACACGTCCTTGCGTGCGTCGACGCATTTTTCTAGATTTTTCTCAAAATCTACGCAGCCTCCTGCATATTAAAACAATATTTCCTGACAAAACGATGAAGTGTCACTCAAACGTAAAGTGTTCCTGTGCAGCTGTTGAGTGGATCAGTTCCTCTCCAGCTGAGGAGGTTTTTGTACGACGTTGTTTCACTGTGTGAACGGGGGGCTTGAACCTTGCTGACAATAATAATCTCCTGCATCTTCAGTCAGAACTCCTCTGATGGTCAGAGTGAAGTCACTTCCAGATCCACTTCCACTGAAACGATCTGAGATCCCAGACTGACGACTTGTAGCGTAATAAATCAAAAGTTTGGGAGATTCTTCTGGTTTCTGTAGGTACCAGTGAAGGTAGGTACCAATGCCAGAACTGGCTTTACACCTGATGGAGACAGTCTGTCCTGGAAGAACAGACTGAGATCCAGGAGACTGAGTCAGCTGGATTTCTCCTGATGAACCTGGAAAACATGAAGAAGGGTTATTGAGACAAATCCAGTTTGGAGAAAGATGATCAACATCCAAACAGAAGAGTCTCATTTCTTCAACACGGAGAACAGGTGAAGAAGGTCCACACTGCTTGTTCCACCGTTCTCCCTCACAGCAGAACATCCCTGTGGAGAAGCAAAGCCTCCAGAAGAGGGTCTCACCGTGAACAAGGAGCCCCAGGCTGGTCAGCAGTAGACTCAGTGACATCATCATTGTGCTGCCGGCGTGCCAGTGTGCGTGAGGCCTGGACCGCCACTGATCAGCTCTCTTAAGGCGTGTGAGCAGAGAGGAAGGACACGTATGCAAACACACGGAGCCAGTGAGTCCTCGTCACATGACCGGGTTTCACTATTTAAATCGCCTGTGATGTAACTTCTTAAGAAACACGTTAACATGACCATGAACTGAAGACTCTTCTTCAACCCTCCAAAGAACAGTTTGAGCTTTATTAAAGTTTCCACAAACACAATCATCACTCGTGTGAATTAAACAGTGAAACATTAATCAAGAGAAGTTTCCACCAGGATCTTCAGCTTGGTTTTATTCTGTAGAACAACATTTCTTCATGGTTCACGTGTCACACACAACTCTCCTCTGAGGGGATTTTCTTCTTGTCTCCAGTTTTCAGTTAATATTTCCTGTTTTATTTCGGTGGACTCGGCTCTTGTGTTTCCCCACTTTGTGATCGTGTGCTTCTTGGTGGTTGTGTCCCTCCTTTCATTGTGTGTTTCTTCGTGTCCTCTTCTCTCTGGGCCGGTTTGTTCTGTCTCTTTTAGAGTATCGGCCATAACGCTCTTCCCTCCCTACATGTGCTTTCCAGTCTACGTACCTATTGAACGCTGCCTTCAGGTAATCACCTCGTGCTTCAACTTCTCTGCGCATTCAGTCTTTTGTGTGTTGGTGCCGGTTTCATTGATAAAACACAGTAACAGAGAACATCTATTTCAATAAGTAGACGTTCCAGTAATGAACCAGAATGAGAAACATCTGCGTTTCCTTCACACAAGTTCTTTCAGTCGTGATCTGAGTATGAGACAGAAAGAAGAACAGCCGCCGCCTGCAGAGACGCATGAACGCTGACGAGTCCTTTCATAGCTCACAACACGTAGCATGACGCTAACATCTCAGGTGATACTCATGAAAGTGTGTTCTTAGTGACCTGGATGGAACACCGGCTGGAGACCTGAACACTCAAACTGGAAGGAGTGAGTAGCGCTGCCCCTCTGAGCCCTGATGCTCTCCTTGAGGATCCCTCACATCCTCCACCAGCTCGCTCGTCGTCTCAGGCCCACTGCCGGCGTTTCTTTGTGAAGATCTTGTGGTAATAGTTGTTGCCGTGGTGTGACGGATAGCGTGTTAGTCGTGTACCCAAGCAAACTTTACAACGATGTCGACTCCATGTTGTTCACTTTGATGTCATGCTAACGTAGCGTTAGCTCTCTGGCTCAGCGCTGATCCTGAAAGTTGACTGTTTGTCCCTGAGATGTGTCCTTTCTGCTGGAATCAAGTGTTTCATTCAACACTTTGTTTCACTGGTTTAAGTGAAGAAGGGAATTATTATTGTCAATGAATGGTTCTACATTTTTAGGTGTATGAGGGAGAAATGTGTTTTTGTATGCGCTTTATGAACATGCAGCTATAAGAAGGAAATAGTCTTGTTTCATCATTCTTTGGTAGATCAGATCAGAACAAAAGGCTGTAATGGGATGTGAACATATGGTGGAAAGACTCATTTGAATTCCATCAAGATCATTTTTGTCCTTGAACCCTTTGTAATAAATGTTCATTAGTGGTTCCAGTAATAATAGTGAAACACTAAAAGCTCTTGATGAACGTGTACATTGTGTGTCTGTGTGTGTGTGTGTGTGTGTGTGTGTGTGTGTGTGTCTCCAGTGAAGTGCGTCAGTCAGTTCAGTTTCTGTTCCTTCTGACTGAAGGAGGTTTCTGTACGACTCTTTTTCACTGTGTGAACACCCACTGACTGTTGATTACATGAGCACTCTGACAGTAGTAATGTGCTGCATCTTCAGCTGTGACTCCACTGATGCTCAGAGTAAAGGAAGATCCTGATCCACTGCCTGTAAAACGACCTGGAGTCCCTGATGCTCGAGTGGTAGCATAATAAATCAGCAGCTTAGGAGCTCCTCCGTCTCTCTGTTGGTACCAGGCTAAACGATCAGAGCTATAAACACTCTGACTGGTTGTACATGAGATGGAGACGGAACCTCCAGCAGCAGAGCTCACTGCTCCAGGCTGAGTCACTGTGACCTGGCCTCTGGACTCTGAGGACACGGAGACAAAGACATAAAGCAGCGTCATGGTCGTGTCTCCTTCATTTCAGAGGGACGCACGTCCACAGAGGAGAGGACTTTGGTCCTCTGGACTTTACCTGTGAAGCAGAGGAGAGTCCAGACGAGGACGCAGATCAGAGTCATGTTTGTGATGAGGAGGATCTCTGTGTCTTCTGCTGTGATGAAGGACAGCTGTCCTCCAGGGTCCAACTCTCAGGACTATAAGGTCTCCCAGAGCACTGGAGCATGTGCTGCTGATGCAAAGTGTCTCTATGGAAATGCTGTGCCTGACTCCTCTGATGACGCTGGTGATCAATGGATCAATCAGCTGATCGCTCCATTGATCAGGAATGTGTCAGTGCTCGTTAACGAGTCTTTGATGCCGTTTGATGGAAAACTTTTCTTCTGGAATGTTTTATAAGATCCCCAAAATTTACTACAATGTAAATTAAGATCACAATGAGACAAAATTCATCAAAATGGATATTTTTTCATTCTTATAGCGCACAATAAATATACATTTATGATCATTTTCACTTTTTGGGATATTGGAAATGTGTAAAGAAACACTAAAATATTAATATACATTTTTGTAAAATGTTCTTTAGTAATCATTTATTTGTTTTTTATTAATTAAATATAACTCACAGATGTTAAACATTCATCAAATAACCGGTTGAATACACATTTACTTTGTGTTGATCAGTTTGATGGGTCGAGGTCTTGTACACACTGAATGTGTGTAGTGTGTTTGTGTGTCTGTCACAGAGTCGTGTGTCTCTACTCTCACAGGTTTTTGTACGGCGGTTCGATGCCTTCGTGTCACTGTGGTGGACGTTTGGTGGAGGAACCAGACTGAGCGTTGGAAGTAAGTCAAACCTTTAATAATCTCATTGTTTCTGACTATAATGTGTTATATTTATATTTATATTCAACAGGCAAAACAGAAAATAGATGCTTTTATATATTTATGTATGTTTTTCAGATATTTTGCAATCAGAGAGAAACTTTCCATCAGTGAACTTTAAAACGTTATTTGTATGAAAAGTCAAAGTAAAATTATCTGTTTCTTTATTTAAATCTCTTTCTGATTTCATGCCTTAGTTTCTGCTCCTTTATACATTTATATTAGAGAAGCTCTACTAAACATTTTGTTACAAACTCCTTTCAACTTATAACGTGTAAAAAACATGAACCTCAAGAAAAATATCAGAATGTTGGTTTTTGTTTTTTCATAATGAAAAATGATCCGATTATTTGAATAAATGTTTACGGACGAGTTAACGATCGACTTCATTCTCTCAAACGTCTTGAACTTTAAAACCATATTTTTAAATTTTGCCTGAAATCCACATGAAGAAAGTTTGATTGCTGTTGGTTTATTTTCTCTATTAATTCACGCTTGAAGTCATTATTTTAGACCAACGCTTTTGGACAGTTTAACATTTGTCCTCATGTGGACGTTTCTTCTGTGGTTTCATGTCCTCCTGTCTGAGGATTGTCTCTGTGCTGATGTGCATGAGAGGCTTCTTGAAGGGAAGTGAAACATGGTGTGAGTGAGTGACTGCTGGAGCAGAAGAAACATCTGGCAGAAACTCCTCAAAGGACTGAATCGGCCCTCTCACAGTGAAGGGGTCCCATGTCTGGTGCTTGATTGACAGCTGATCGTGTCTCCTAGGTGATGTCCGGCCCACCCTGACGGTGCTGCCCCCCTCCAGGGAGGAGCTGCAGCAGGGGACGGCCACGCTGGTGTGCCTGGCCGACAAGGGCTTCCCCTCCGACTGGAGTCTGGCCTGGAAGGTGGACGGCAGCAGCAGCAGCTGGGAGGAGAGCAGAAGCCCCGGGGTGCTGGGGGGGGGCGCCCTCTACAGCTGGAGCAGCACCCTGAGGCTCCCTGCAGACCAGTGGGCCAAGGTGGGCTCCGTGACCTGTGAGGCCACCCAGGGCTCCCAGACTGCGCTCTCAGAGACGCTGAGGAGAGACCAGTGTTCCCAGTGAGCTGAGCCACTGGGGCTCTGATACTGGTTCACTCTCATACTGGTTCAGTCTGCCTGTAACTCTACATTTTCTGTTCATTTCTTGTTTTAAACACTGTCTAAGTTGCTGTTTCATTCAATAAGTTCTGTTCTTTTATTTTGTTCAACACAATAAATAACATTTCATCAAATTCATTGTCATCAGTATGTTATTGTAAAGTAGACGGATGTTTCTCTTTCTCTAGTTCCAATAAATGCAGAAAAAGTTCTCAACTTGAATTTTTATAATTATTGGAAATGGCAAGAAATACTAAAATATTAGGATTGTTATTGTAAAGTAAACATATGTTTGTCTTTCTTTGGTTGCAATACATCTAGAAACAGTTAACTCAACTGAGTCTTGAGATTTTATATTTATTGGAAATGTGTAATGAACTTAACTGAATGTGACCCAGATATGATCAAAGTATTGTCATACTTTTTCTTACTTTACTTTTACTTTTTTACATTTCACCATTAAGTGGAAAAAAATACTTTTTAAACTAGGCTGATTTTTAAAATGTATTAAGGAAAATTCCTTTAACAGAATCACTGGCAGGGTCCATCAGTTTTTGTTTCTTTGAATTAAGACTATTCAAAAACAAGGCAATTTAACGGGTTTCACATTAAAGCATTAAAAGCATCATGAGTGAAGAACATTGATTTGAACATTTATTACTAAAACAATAAACAAGCTTTAATCTGAATAAACATTACAGTGTAGTTTGAGACTCTAAATAGTAGAATACAGTAATAATATGCAGAGATGCAGTAAATGGATCAACATCCCTGTCTGGTTCAATTAAAAGCTGCAGCCAACAGAAACGTCTTCAGTCTTAATTTGAAGCCGCTGAGAGTCTCAGCAGACCTGCAGCTTTCTGGGGGTTTGTTCCAGATGTGGAGCAGAAGAAGTGAAGCTGCTTCTCCATGTTTGGTTGTGACTCTGGGGACAGAGAGCAGAGCCAGAGGACCTGGGGGGTCGGGATGGTTCGTAAGGTGGCAACAGGTCACGCGTGTGTTTTTGCCCTGAACCGTTCAGTGACAAGTTATTAAAATCCTGTTGAAGCCTCTAATTCTTGATATATTCTTCAGGTGACAGTAGGGATCATAGTAGATGTGTGTGTCGTCTGCATAATAACGAATACACACTTTGTTTCTTTGCATAATGTGAGCAGGTGAAAGCATGTAGATGTTGAACAGGAGAGGCCCCAGGAAGGAACCATGGGGAACACCTCATGTGTTTTACTCCGCTGTGATGTGTAATTATCTACAGACACAAAGTGCTCACGGTTCTTCAAGTAGGATTCAAACCAGCGTCTTGTTGAGCCTGAGACTCACTGTTACGTGCCTTGTGTGTGTGTGTGTGTGTGATTTTCTTCAGGTGTCCTTGTGACGTCACTCCTGCAGCTGATCACCATGGGGTTAAACGGCTGTGCCAAGCCAGAGTGTTGGGCGTTGCTTCAGTGGAAGCCAGAGCGGAACCAGAGACGTGTTAGGTGCTGCCGTGAGGAGATTGTCAGCCAGTGAAAAAGGAGTCTGTGACAGGTTCATCCTACGGGGGGTCTCGGAATGACGAGAATGCAGCGGTTGGTTCCATTTGACACTCTTTATTTTACTGTTCACAACAATCATGGACAGCCTACTCCAGCCTCCTCGTCTGCTCAGCCCTCTCGCTGTCGCCGGATCTCTCCTACTTCAGGGCAGAACAAACACACACCCTGATTAATCTCAGCTGAGGCTGATTATGCCTCGTTATGCACTGTTCCCCGAACCACTCCCTTCTCCGTCCCCTCTGCAGCCGAGCCAAACCACGCCCGCCACCACAGAGTCATACGCCGTACTCGTCTTCCTTTTGGAGATTGTTTTCAGTTGCCTTGTGTTGAGTTTTCCATCATTAAATACCCTTCATGCCGTTGGTCCAGATCTCCCGGGTTTATCATTTTAACTTGTCTGCATCCTCCACCCCTAGACACTTTAGGGACATAACAGTTTTGGGGGCTCGTCCGGGATCTTTTGTCTGCTCATACGATCATCATTGTCTGTTGCGGTAGGTTTATCTGTTATATTTTGATATAGCCCTGCGTGCTGCCTCCGTGCTTTGCTAGTGTGTGATTGTGAAACTGCTTCTCTTTGGTCTAGATAGGGTGGTGTCCAGCTGGGCCTAATCGGCTTTTCCTTCGGGCACTAATTTATTGTTTTGCCTTTATTGATTTTGGAGTCAATCCTGGGCGGAGACCGCGTTCTCCAAAGGGAGCTGGCGTTTCAGGGTTTCCTCCACTGATGTGTTGCCTCGAGCTCGGCACGGCTCCAGAAGATAGCCAGGGATTAGTGCTGGTTAGGCAGGTTCTGAGGAGGTTGCTGTTTCCTTGAGATGAGGCTGGAGGCCTATTGTTGGGGTGTATTAATATCAAACTCTAAACCTGGCGTTTTCAGCGTGATTGTTCTTGTGACCTGACTCTGACGACTTTTCAGCTAGATACGTTTGTGTCTGACCCGATTAGGTACGTTTGATAGGTGTAGAACGAAGGATGTGCATGTGATAGCAGAATATTATGGTATTTCTGTGTCCGCTTCCCTCCCAAAAGCTGAGCTATTGATGGTCTTGTTATCCAGGGAGTTCTCTGCACCCAGGAGCGGCCCTGATCAAGAGATGAGTGCACCTGATGTGAAAGAGCAGGCTGTTAATGTTACTCCGGTTGTTCAACATGAGGGAACCGAACGGCAGCCAGTCACCTGGCCGCCGTTTGAACCGATGTCGGTGGATTCATCCCCGGGGTCTAAGCTGGATGCCAGGTTAAGGGTGCGGTTAATTCACCTTCAGGTAGAGAGGGAGGCGAAGCGGAATGTTCAGCTCCGCAGAGAGTTGGAGTTGAAGTTTGAGGCAGAGACTGCTTTAAAGATGCGTCACATGGAAACACAGGGTGGTTTATGAGTTGCCCGTAACATTACCACTGCTGGGGCGCCTTCTCCCAGTTCTGTCACTTTTGATATGAGTAAGCACATTTCACTGGTGCCTGTTTTCCGTGAGTCGGGTACTTTGGTGCAATTGAGCGTATTGCTGCTGCTTTACATTGGCCTAAAGACGTGTGGGCGATCTTGTTGGAGAGAAAGGTTCAAGAGGCCTGCTCCTCTTTGTCTGTGGAGGTCTTAGAAAAGCACAGAGCCAGTCATATGTTGACTTTGCGCAGGAGAAAGGGATCCTTTTTGACAGGTGTGCAGTGTGTAAGGTTGCCGATCTGTCTTCATTGCGTGAGCTGATGTTGTTAGAAGAGTTTAAAAACTGCGTGCCCGACGCACTACTGTGTATTTAAACAAACAGAAAAGTTTCCTCGCTGCAGCCACCCTGAGTTTACGCTCACGCATAAAGCAGTTTTTAATAAACGCGATACTTACTTAGACGTGAAGCCCCCCAACAATCTGTTTTCTGGAGAAATGTGTTTTTGTATGCGCTTTATGAACATGCAGCTATGAGAAGGAAATAGTCTTGTTTCATCATTTTTTGGTAGATCAGATCAGAAAAAAAGGCTGTAAAGGGACGTGAACAAATGGTGGAAAGACTCATTTGAATTCCATCAAGATCATTTTTGTCCTTGAACCCTTTTTAATAAATGTTCATCAGTGGTTACAGTAATAATAGTGAAACACTGAAAGCTCTTGATGGACGTGTACAGTGTGTGTGTGTGTGTGTGTGTGTGTGTGTGTGTGTGTGTGTGTCTCCAGTGAAGTGCGTCAGCTGTCGGTTCAGTTTCTGTTCCTTCTGACTGAAGGAGGTTTTTGTACGACTCTTTTTCACTGTGTGAACACCGACTGACTGTTGATGTAATGAGCACTCTGACAGTAGTAATGTGCTGCATCTTCAGCTGTGACTCCACTGATGCTCAGAGTGAAGGAAGATCCTGATCCACTGCCTGTAAAACGACCTGGGAGTCTCTGATGCTCGAGTGGTAGCAGAATAAATCAGCAGCTTAGGAGCTCCCTACGTCTCTCTGTTGGTACCAGGCTAAATATTTAGAGTTATAAACACTCTGACTGGTTGTACATGAGATGGCGACGGAGCCTCCAGCAGCAGAGCTCACTGCTCCAGGCTGAGTCACTGTGACCTGGCCTCTGGACTCTGAGGACACGGAGACAAAGACATAAAGCAGCGTCATGGTCGTGTCTCCTTCATTTCAGAGGGACGCACGTCCACAGAGGAGAGGACTTTGGTCCTCTGGACTTTACCTGTGAAGCAGAGGAGAGTCCAGACGAGGACGCAGATCAGAGTCATGTTTGTGATGAGGAGGATCTCTGTGTCTTCTGCTGTGATGAAGGACAGCTGTCCTCCAGGGTCCAACTCTCAGGACTATAAGGTCTCCCAGAGCACTGGAGCATGTGCTGCTGATGCAAAGTGTCTCTATGGAAATGCTGTGCCTGACTCCTCTGATGACGCTGGTGATCAATGGATCAATCAGCTGATCGCTCCATTGATCAGGAATGTGTCAGTGCTCGTTAACGAGTCTTTGATGCCGTTTGATGGAAAACTTTTCTTCTGGAATGTTTTATAAGATCCCCAAAATTTACTACAATGTAAATTAACATCAGAATGAGACAAAATTCATCAAAATGGATATTTTTTCATTCTTATAGCGCACAATAAATATACATTTATGATCATTTTCACTTTTTGGGATATTGGAAATGTGTAAAGAAACACTAAAATATTAATATACATTTTTGTAAAATGTTCTTTAGTAATCATTTATTTGTTTTTTATTAATTAAATATAACTCACAGATGTTAAACATTCATCAAATAACCGGTTGAATACACATTTACTTTGTGTTGATCAGTTTGATGGGTCGAGGTCTTGTACACACTGAATGTGTGTAGTGTGTTTGTGTGTCTGTCACAGAGTCGTGTGTCTATACTCTCACAGGTTTTTGTACGGCGGTTCGATGCCTTCGTGTCACTGTGGATCACATTTGGTGGAGGAACCAGACTGAGCGTTGGAAGTAAGTCAAGGCCTTTAATAATCTCATGGGTTCTTGACTATAATGTGTTATATTTCTTATTTATATTCAACAAGGAAAAACAGAAAATAGATGCTTTTATATATTTATGTATGTTTTCAGATATTTTGCAATCAGAGAGAAACTTTCCATCAGTGAACTTTAAAACGTAATTTGTATGAAAAGTCAAAGTAAAAATATCTGTTTCATTATTTAAAGCTCTTTCTGATATCATGCCTTAGTTTCTGCTCCTTTATACATTCATATTAGAGAAGCTCTACTAAACATTTTTTTACAAACTCCTTTCAACTTATAACGTGTAAAAAACATGAACCTCGAGAAAAATATCAGAATGTTGGTTTTTGTTTTTTCATAATGAAAAATGATCCGATTATTTGAATAAATGTTTACGGACGAGTTAACGATTGACTTCATTCTCTCAAACGTCTTGAAGTTTAAAACCATATTTTTAAATATTGCCTGAAATCCACATGAAGAAAGTTTGATTGCTGTTGGTTTATTTTCTCTATTAATTCACGCTTGAAGTCATTATTTTAGACCAACGTTTTTGGACAGTTTTAACATTTGTCCTCATGTGGACGTTTCTTCTGTGGTTTCATGTCCTCCTGTCTGAGGATTGTCTCTGTGCTGATGTGCATGAGAGGCTTCTTGAAGGGAAGTGAAACATGGTGTGAGTGAGTGACTGCTGGAGCAGAAGAAACATCTGGCAGAAACTCCTCAAAGGACTGAATCGGCCCTCTCACAGTGAAGGGGTCCCATGTCTGGTGCTTGATTGACAGCTGGTCGTGTCTCCTAGGTGATGTCCGTCCCACCCTGACGGTGCTGCCCCCCTCCAGGGAGGAGCTGCAGCAGGGGACGGCCACGCTGGTGTGCCTGGCCGACAAGGGCTTCCCCTCCGACTGGAGTCTGGCCTGGAAGGTGGACGACAGCAGCAGCAGCTGGGAGGAGAGCAGGAGCCCCGGGGTGCTGGGGGGGGGCGCCCTCTACAGCTGGAGCAGCACCCTGAGGCTCCCTGCAAACCAGTGGGCCAAGGTGGGCTCCGTGACCTGTGAGGCCACCCAGGGCTCCCAGACTGCGCTCTCAGAGACGCTGAGGAGAGACCAGTGTTCCCAGTGAGCTGAGCCACTGGGGCTCTGATACTGGTTCACTCTCATACTGGTTCAGTATGACTTGTAACACGTTCCTGTTTATTTCTTTTCTTCAATCACTGTCCAAGTTCCTGTTTCATTTATTAAGTCCTGCTGACTTTCATTATTTCAACACAATAAAAAAATTTCATTACATTCTTTGTCATTCAGTATATTCATTCTAAAGTAAACAGATGTTTCTCTCTCTCTGTAGTTCCCAATAAATCTAGAAACAATTAAATCGAAGAAGTCTTGAGATTTTAAAATTATTTAATATGTATAAAGAAATCCTATAATATTATTAGACATTTTTGATGTTTGATGAACAAACTCTCTGATAAGAATCAATGTAACTGAATGTTACCCAGATATGATCAGAGTATTGTTATACTTTATAAAAGTTTTCATGATGCTTTTGTGACATTAACTGAAAAAAGAATCTTTTAATGAAGCTGTGTTTTTAACAAATGTTTCTGAGAAAATCCCATTAACAGTATCTACATCACTAATAAGGTCTGTCAGTCGTAGTATCTAGTCAAATGAATCTTAATTGAACTACAAAGTTTGAGAAGTTTTAATCAAATTGGAATAGTGAAGTAGGATATCTTCAGCATTTTATATCACCATAGTATTAATAAATATAAGTTTATTCTTACAGCACATTTCAACAACAAGGTTATTCAAAGAGCTTCACATTAAAGCATTAAAAGCATCATGAGTGAAGAACATTGATTTGAACATTTATTACTAAAACAATAAACAAGCTTTAATCTGAATAAACATTACAGTGTAGTTTGAGACTCTTAATAGTAAAATACAGTAATAATATACAGAGATGCAGTAAATGGATCAACATCCCTGTCTGGTTCAATTAAAAGCTGCAGCCAACAGAAACGTCTTCAGTCTTAATTTGAAGCCGCTGAGAGTCTCAGCAGACCTGCAGCTTTCTGGGAGTTTGTTCCAGATGTGGAGCAGAAGAAGTGCAGCTGCTTTTCCATGTTTGGTTGTGACTCTGGGAACAGAGAGCAGAGCCAGAGGACCTGGGGGGTCGGGATGGTTCGTAAGGTGGCAGCAGGTCACGAGTGTGTTTTTGCCCTGAACCGTTCAGTGACAAGTTATTAAAATCCTGTTGAAGCCTCTAATCCTTGAAATATTCTTCAGGTGACAGTAGGGATCATAGTAGATGTGTGTGTCGTCTGCATAATAACGAATACACACTTTGTTTCTTTGCATAATGTGAGCAGGTGGAAGCATGTAGATGTTGAACAGGAGAGGCCCCAGGAAGGAACCATGGGGAACACCTCATGTGTTTTACTCCGCTGTGATGTGTAATTATCTACAGACACAAAGTGCTCACGGTTCTTCAAGTAGGATTCAAACCAGCGTCGTGTTGAGCCAGAGAGTCTCACCCAGACTCTCAGTCCGTCTCGTAATGTGTCACCTTTGACCTTGTTGAACGCCGCACTGAGTTCCAGTAATATTAAGACTGTAATAAAAGCAGTGGGATCCAAAGAAACTATAACAACCTATAACTATATAACTTACTATATTATTATATAGCTATTATTAAACTATTTTTTATCTATTACATTACATTACATTACATGTCATTTAGCGGACGCTTTTATCCAAAGCGACGTACAATAAGTACATTCAACCATAGGGTACAAACTCAGGAGAACAAGAAACAAGAAAGTGCAATTTCCTCAAATGTGATCATCTTGGAGGCAGAATTCCACCGGGTGCAACATTGAACTAGCGACTCTTCCCGTTGTCCTCGTGCACTTTGCTTTGCTCTCAGCTCTCCGTCATTTGACGGCTGTGTTTGAAGTGGCAACAATCTCCCCACATTTAGCCGGGACGTTTTCCAAACCCCTGTCTTTTAGGGACACAGTGGTGGTCCTCTGCAGGGTGGATGTAGCCTAGCAGTTAATTGCGTTAAAATATTTTATTGGATTAATCGCGGCCACAATAATCTCATAGATCAATGTGTTAACTTTGACAGTCCTAATTATTAAATACACCGTTTTTTGACGGTGTGCTTGGAATTAAGTAGCAACAGGGCGACTATCTTTCCTTACGTCCAGTTCATGTGCAGGTCACGACCCCGCCGGGGCCTTTTCAGATACGCGGCCATTCGGTCACCGTCCTTGTGTTTGACTCATGTCGTCTCCTCTCTTCTCTCGTCTCTTTGTGGCGGCGGCACAGTCCAGGACTCCGGCGCTCGTCTTTGAATGCATCAATAACACAGACTTCAAGGTACAGTGGCCGCCTCTCGCAATCATTCAGTCATTACTTAATCCGTGAAGGAGGCAGCAGCTTTCTCTTTTTCGTTTCAAATTAAATCCTGACAAAAATGCTTTTACCTGCAGGAGTTGTACCAGAAGTTGACAGATTATGATATCCGTTTCTATATGTATGAACTACTCAAGGTGAGTCTTTTGACTTCTCCTCCCCCTCCTTTTTTTTCCCCTTTATTTAAAATAAGTGGCATCTCATCTTCTGA